AGCTATACCTCTTCTGGATATCTTCCCAAAAGAATTAAAAATATTATACCACAGTGACATACATGCATCCATATTTATAGCAGCACAGTTTACAATAGCCAGATCTTGGAAACAACCTAGATGCCCATTGACTGAGGAATGGATAAAAAAGATGTTGCATTTTTATAAATGTAGTGCTACTCAGTCATAAAGAAGGACAAACTGAAGACTTTTATAGATGGATGGATGCAACTTGAGACCATACTCATTAGTGAAATAAATAAGACACACATATGTAAACAACATATTATCTTATTAGTGTGAGAAGCTGAAAGTACCAACATATATATATATATATATATATGTATATGTATATGTATATGTATATGTATATATACACAAAAATAGTTAAAATAGTTATACTACTGATTTCTCTGAGTTCAGTGAAGAGAAAGATTTGTGCTGGTATTGTTCACACAATTGTTAGCAGATGTCTTGTGCTCTGGGTGAATGACTTGGGGATGACAATGTACAATGTTGCCCTCAATTGATGTGTTTTGAAATTTTGTTCTCGTTTCTTCTTCCTCCTCCTCCTCCTCTTCTTCTTCTTTTCTTTGAAATAAAATGAGGTTTTAAAAAAGCTCTGTACTAAAAGAAAGAATGAATGAAAGAAAAAGAAAGAAAGAAAGAAAGAAAGAAAGAAAGAAAGAAAGAAAGAAAGAAAGAAAGAAGAAGGAAAGAAAGGATAAATGAAACAGCTAGGAATTAACCTAAGCTAGGAAGTGAAAGACTTCTACAAAGAAAGCTACAGTATTTTGAAAAAAAGATTGATGAGGACATCAAAAAATGGGAAGGTGCTCCCTGCTCCTGGATATGCAGTCAGTATTATCAAAATGGCTATACTCCCAAAGCTGTAGTACAGTCAATGCAGTTTCAATCAAAATACCAACAGCATACTTTACAGAGCTAGAAAAAGCAATCCTAAAATTCACATGAAGCAAGAAGAGACCCAGAATATCAAAAGCAGTTCTGGGCTACAAGAGCAAAACAGGATATATAGCAAATCAGGATATATACCAGATTTCAAGCTATACTCAAAAGCAATAGTGATAAAAATAGCATGGTACTGGAATACAAACAGATATGTGAATCAACAAAATAGAACTGAGGATACAGAAGCTTCTCCAAATACATTTGGCTACCTGATATTCAACAAAAGGTCCAAAATCATACACTGGAGGAAAGATAGCCTATTCAACAAGCAATACTGGAAAAACTGTGTGTGCAAAAGATGGAAACTGGACCCTATCTCTCACCTTTACTTTACACTAAATTAAAATCAAAATGGATCAAAGATCTAGACATTAAAACAGAAGTACTAACCCTACTGGAAAATAAAATAGTTAAAACATTTGAATACACAGGTGTAGGCAAGGATTTTCTAAACAGAACTTTACTTGGACAAGAAATAACAGCAAGACTCACAAAATGGAATTATATCAGACTAAAGAGCTCCTGTACAGCAAAAGAACCAATCAGTGGAGTAAAGAGATAACCTACAGAGTGAGAAAAAACTTGCAAGATATTCCTCAGATGGATGACTAATATCTAGAATATACAAAGAACTCAAAAAACTTAAGCCACTTAAAATCAAAGATCTAGTCAACAAACAGGCAAGAGAAATGAACAGATACTTCACAGTGGAAGAAATACATGAAAACATCTCTAGCTGTTATAGAAATGCAAATTAAAACAATGTTGAGTCTATCTTATTCCAGAAAGAATGATAATCATTAAGAAATCAAACAACAAACGCTAGTAAGGCTGGGATGAAAAAGGAACACTCACTGGTTGTTTTCATAATGGAAACCAGCAGTCATCCAATCACTTAGGAATCTCCCTCAAAGAGTTTAAGTTGTATTACAGCAATACACGCACACCAATGTACACAACAGCATCACCTGTAACAGCTAAATCCTCAAAACAGCCTGAACAGATGACTGGATAAAGAAAATGTGCTGAGGAAAGAAGGAAAGAAGGAAGGAAGGAAGGAAGGAAGGAAGGAAGGAAGGAAGGAAGAGAGAAAAAATGTGCTATTTATCTATGATGAAATACTCCTGTGTTATAAAGAATAACAGATTTGAGATGTTTGTAGGAAAATGGATGCATTAGAAAATATAATGTTTAGTGAAATAAACCAGACACACAAGTTTAAATACTATATTATATCCCTCATTTGAGTGAGGCAAAATACACAAAGAGAATAATAAAGGATGAATAGAATGGGACAGATGCACTTTTGCAATAGGGAAGTGGTCTGAAGGAAACAGCATGGGGCTGAGGAGGAGAGGAAGGCGAAATAAATAGTATAAAAATATGCTATGCTCAGGATCCTAATAACCTTAATTAATGTAAACATTACATGCCATAACATGAGCTAAGATCAATACTATCAACAAGAATGCAGAATGGAATAAGGGAATTGGAGGAGGGTGGAGAGGGGGATGGAAGGGAATTTTTTTTAAAACCCTGTAGTTTGTATATGTAACCACTCCCCAAGAAAACTGCAAACATGTACTAATAAAATTTTTTTAAAGTACATATATTAATTCTCATAAAGGTAGAACCTGGATATTTTGATAATTTGGAAGTAGGATTTCATTCCACTCACTACGTTTATTAACTTGGCTAAACTTTTTGTTGGTAACTGAATCCAAGAAGCTATATGGCAGTTCCTTAATTAGGAGGATGGCCCAACCTGTATCATGTGTGTGAATGTGCAATTAATCATAAGCACGTATGTAAAAGAAATTTCATATTTTTTAACTTTTTTTTAAAAATATGATTCCAAATACCAATCTGGCTTGAAACTTAATGACTCATTACTAGACCTCAGGGTTATACAAAGGCCCTGGGGCAAGGTATCTCAGGAGACTTAGCTTTTAGTTCAGTTCCCCAGAGATGCCTGTTGTCTCAGTGTATTCACTGTTCTCATACCAAGGGAAGGTCTGGGATCTTGGGTGGATCAAGGAGAGCTTAGGAGCAGCTATTTCCCTCTGAGGTCAGACCACCTCCTCAGAACATATATACTCACCAATGGTAAAAGCACAGGCCTTTATTTCCCCAATCCTGGGGTACCACTCTAGCCTCCAGCCCTGCTGCCCTGCCCTTACCTCAAATCATGTAGCAAAATCTCCCTGAGTGGGTATGGCTTTCAAGCTCCTTCATGTTCCAACCCTCTTAGTACTCTGGGTGAGGACACCAAAGAACCCAAGTCTTCTGGTGTAGAAAACCACATGAACAGCTCTGCTTGAATACAGAAAAATCACCGCCTTGGCTAAACCTGGCCCTATCTCCATGTGCTGATATGTACAGAGCCAGCTAAACTATTTCCTTTTCCTTTCAATTGGCTCTAAGCAATGTAAATAGGGCTGGCTGAGATACTGATGCATAATCTTTGAAGCCAAGAGACATCCCTGTTTCCTTGTCTCAGTGGCTCCCTTTAAATGGTTGAGCCCAGCGGGATGGGAGAGCCAACACTCCAGGACTGTCCACTGATTTTGAGCCTCAAGAAGAGAGGCTATGAATTCCGGGGGCACACAAGTTTACACATCAGAAACTGAAGCAACAGCCTCCAAACATTAACTGCCTCCTCTGCTGTGTTATGAAGGTTGAGTTTTCTGCACACCCTTCTCTCTGCATACTGTCGAGGTCCTCCTGGCCTCTTAGCTGGCTGGGCTCATAATACTCACATAATTTCCACCGTTCTCACAGTCACTTATCCTTAGCCGCTCCCTTTTTCATGAATTAATAAAATTGGAGTTAGGCCCTGGGTCAAGGCCTTGGATCCATAAACTCTCACCAGGACTGGACTCAGGACCCGTTGGCTGCCTGTAACTTTGAATATGCCTTAGTGTCTTATTCTCACCATGGGCTGCACTGGAGGTGGTAGATTGGAATGAACTAGCTAGAGTTCCAATAACGCTTCCATGGGATTACAAATATAAACTTTCCACACCACAAGGAGGACAGAAGAAGGCCTCTATACCCTAGAACAGGAAGAGGGAAGACAGAGGACTACATGAAAATTGCTAACTCCATAAACTACCCACCCTCTGAGCTGAGGCCCTAAGGAAGGCCGAGCACCAGGACCCCCACAGTTTTCAACAAGCGTTCTTCAAAAACAAAAATAAGAAGAGCTCACGGATGTGTAGTGGGTTGGGAGAGCCCCGTTCAGCCCAGGACTGTAATAATTTGTAAAGTGGGCACTTAGGGAGTAATTGGCATATTACACTCTGCTTCTACTACAAATAAGCCTTAAATGATCTTTCTTTCTCCTTTTTAACTTCCATGTTTCATCTTACACTTAATCAAGTCTCTCTTCAGCATCTTGATTTGGATGCATCTCCCGCATGGTGCTTGTATTAAACAGCTGTGTGCCATGGGACTAGAGACTGAAGTTAGACACCAAATGAGTCTCCTGAGCTATAAAATGACCCTGCCACCTCACATTTAGTCCTCAAGCCCTGCTCCTCGTCCAGCATAGCTGTCTTCCTCTCTGTCATCTGCCAGACCTGAGCTGAACCATGCAGAGGACCGAGAGGCCCAGTTCTACATTTTTCATTACCTGAAAGTGAAATGTCTTAATTTTTAAAGCTGCTAGAAATAAACACAAGGTTTTGTACACTATGCAAACAGTTAATAGCACTGCCTTGTCCCAAGTGACAATACCCAGGTTTCAGAAGGAAAGGAGGGACATATGTCCTGCAATCACTCTCACATCCCTGTGCTAGGGGACATGCTGCCCAGAGCTCTAGGGACTGAACTTCCCTTTGCATGTGGAAGAGGATATAGATCCTCAGTCCCTACACAGCGGAACAGATTCTCTCTGCAATTGGCTTGGGTAGGAATTTGTTAAGCACCTCACCCTGGCCAGGCAAAACAGGCTGCATGGGATATACTCAGAAGCATATAGCCAAGGGTCTATTAAAACTTGCATGCCAGCTTTTTTCTGTCCTTACCTTTAAACAATGATCCTCCTCAAAGAAGCAGAGGCATTCCCTGAAGCATAAACACATTGGTATTCTAGAAATAAGATGATATAGGTACAACTGAATAAATGAGATTCTGGCTTTGAAATAATTAGGCACTGACTTTTTAAAGAAATCCACGTTTTAGGCAGGCACAATGTGGAGAGTACTTTTGAGAACTAGGATAATATACCACACTTTTTACAAGCCGAAGGCTTTGACTTTCAGCTAAAGCCAAAGGACTCCAAGGTTGACTTGAAGATGGACAAACCTACTCATTAAGCATGGTCAGGACAAATGACTCAACATCTCCGCAGTCATCTCCAGGCTTCAGCACTCTGCTGCCACCAGGTGGCCGAAGCTTGGTAGATACAGGTGAGCCCAGAGCCCTTTTCCCTCCACTACACCTGCTTTCTAGACCCCAGCTTGGGTCTTGGCTAAAGAGCAGGTAGGGGCCCCACTGAGGAGGCGTGGCCCCACACCATCTATAGACCAAGGGCTGGGCATTCGTCACCCAGTGCTGCGAGGAAGCTTAAACTACAAAACCTGCCTCTGCAAGACTTTTCTTGTCAAAGATTGTATTTATTTGGGCAACTTCTACCTCCATTCATTCTACCACTTTACCCTGGTTTAAGCAGTGTATGCCCGGAGAATAAATGAATTACCTTATTCTCATGAAAAAGAATATTTAAAATGACTGTTAGCTTTAATTGGGAAAGGCGGAAAGTAAGAAGAAGTAAGAAGAAAATCCAACATGAGAGAAATGTCGGACAGGTAATGTGCTCTGGGTTACCTGCATGCAGGGATAAGGTACTGCAAGTCAGGAAGATTCTTGTAAGCCACAGTGAGTCCTTCCTGGGTCTGGAGAACACTGCTGGCTGTGACAGGCAGATGAGGCAGACCTGGCAAGCAGCAGGCTGTGCCTGCCTCACAGGAAAAGCCCCAGAGCCACTGTGAACATGTAATGCGGGGTATAATGTCATATTCATGTCTGAATTTTGTGTGATGAGATTAATATACTTACTTAGCGAAATATCAATGTGACAGAAATTCTGTCCCAAACAGAGTATATCTGTACTGGGCACCTGGCTAGGTCATTTTATTGAAGGCTCAGAGCAGTTCCGGGTAGTCATTGTTATCATCCCTTTTAACAGAGTGAGAAACTGAGCCCTTGGGAGCTGGGCACCTCGCCCGAGGTCAGGACTCCGCACCGGCAGCACTGTGCATCCTTCAACCCCAAGGCTGTCTGACTTCAATGCCCAGGCGCTTTCCTCCTCGTCACGTTTGCCTAAAGCAAACACAGAAAGACAAATAATTCTAACCCATGCAAAAGTGCATCATTTGCCTTTTCCCGTTTGTATAATTTTAAATGTCACCACAAGTTCACTTCTAGGTCACTTTTAAAACAAGCAACTTTGCTTTAAGGCAAGCAGGGAAAAATTCTGCCATCGTTTGTACCATTGTAGACTCTATGGCTCAGTTTTCTACTCTGCTTTCCAGGGACAGTTCAAACAGAAACAAACGACAATCGAGAACATTTATCTTACCTTACTGTGAAGAACTTTTTTTCCTAACTGGTAAAAAGAGCTCTCAGAAGGCGCAGTTTTGCCTATGGGCATACATGGGCACTGTGCAGGCCCTGAAAGCACTGTTAGAGACAGCGACAGCCGTGGCTGTGACTGGATCTGGGCCAACACAACTCACTGGCGACAGTTTCTAATGGCATTTTTTCAACTCCATGTGGAATACAGTACACACACAGGACTGGCCCCATGCACAAAAGGTTACAAATCTGATAACTACAGACGCAGCCAGTCTATATGGATCTACTTCGCTATGAGATGAACGTCAAGAATTCATGAAGTTTGGTTTTAAATTTCATGTACAATCTCAGAGTCACACATTCATCTAAGAAATGTTCATGCTGACCAAAAGGACCAGCCAATATTCTATATATTGGGGATGTTCTACTATCAGGAGGCAGAACAAGGACAGATTTTATAAAACATAACCACAGAACATGAGGAAGTACTGGGAGGATGGGTGTTTGCTGTTTTATTTATTTATTCTGGTACCAGAGATTGAACTCATGACCTCATACTTGCCAGGCAGGCACTTATGCCACTGAGCTAAATCCCCAGCCCTTTGCTATTTTACATAGAGTTACGAGGCCTCTTTGATGGCAGTTAAGCAGATAGGTGCTTGACAGAAAAGACGGGATGTTTACGCAAATAGGTACAGAAAAGGGACTGCCAGCAGAAGGGAAATAGCAAGTGCAATGGCCCTGAGGTATGAGTATTCTGGGTGTGTATCAGGCAGGAACCAAGACAAAGGTGGCTACTGCCGAGCACGAGGAGACACCAGGAGATGAAGTCAGAGTGGTGGTGGGAGCTGGTTACCTAGGGTCCAGTGACTCTCAGAAGAAAACTGGTTGTGTCTGAGTGAAGGTTTTTAGCTGAGGCTGAAGAAGATCTGACTCATGTTCTGCAACCAGGAGGTTCCCAGTGAAGAACTGCGGTAGAACGGGAGTGCAAGGCAGAAACCCAGATAGAAAGTGACCCCGTAGGGAAGGTTGTGCCTTGGACCTGCTTGCAATAGAGGGGCAAACAAAGACAAGGCTGGAAGCTGGAGCCAAAAGGATCAGCTGATGGGCTGGAGGTGGGGAAAGAGAAGAAAGCAATGACTCCAAGGTGTGGGGCCTGAACGTATGGAGGACTGGAGTTCAGCTCCTTTGGTGGGGAAGATGGAAGAGAAATCTCATGAGCTCAATATTTGGTGTTTTATTTATTTATTTATTTAAATTTTATTTTGTTTTTGTCTTTTTGAGACAGGGTCTCACTGTGCCGTTGATGTTGGCCTTGGACTTACTTTGTAGCCCAGGCTGGTTTCAAACTTGCAACAATCCTCCTGCCTCAGCTTCCCAAATGCTGAGATCACAGGGGTGCACCACCATGCCCAGCCCTTTGATGTTTTAAAGCCTAGGGGGCATATGAGTGGATTCCTGTCAACCACCTTAACAGACAGAGCAGCCAGCAGGATATAGGGGAGCTGGACTGGACTGTAAAACGGATTCTGCAGCATCTATCTGGTCCTATTCAGAGCTGTGAAATGCATGGAGTCATCTAGGGGAAGATGTAGTTACAAAAGTTAGGACTTGCCAGGCATGGTAGTTCATGCCTGTAATCCCAGCACTCAGGAGGCTGAGGCAGGAGGATCATTGTGAGTTCAAGACCAGCTTGGGCTACAAAGTGAGCTCAAGGTCAGCCTGAACTGCCCAGAGAGACTCTGTCTCAAAAAGACAAAAAAAAAAAAAAAAAAAAAAAAAAAAGAAAGAAAGAAAGAAAGAAAAAAGAAAAGAAAAGGACTCTGGGTGGATCAATATTTAAAGGTTAAGGAGACAAGGAACAACCAGTCAAGGAAATAGGGAGGGATTGCAAGTGAAACCAGGTGAAGAAAGTATTGGCAAGAAAGGTATCTTCATTTACTTCCTGTTGCTGTAACAAAATACAAGAGACAGGTGATTTATCAAAAAATAGAAATTTATTTGGCTTACAGATCTGAAAGCTGAGAAGCCCGAGAACAAGGAGCCAGCATTTTCTAGCATCCAGTGAGGGCCCCTTGCTGCACTGTAACATGATGGAGGGCCTCATAATACAAGACAGAGCAAGTATGGGTAGCTCAGAGATCTTCTTGCCCTCTTCTTCAAAGCGCACTAATGGGGTCACTTATGACCTCACCCTTAAAATTTCATCTAACCCTAATTACCTCCCAAAGGCTCTACCTTCAAATACCATTGACATATAACTTTGGGTACTAAGTTTCCAATATGTGAACTCTTGGGGGGGGTACATTGAAACCACAGCACAGGGTGTCCATTGATTCTATGTGTCAACTATGGCTGATAGAAGCACTTTGAAGCATATTCCTGTGACAACATTGGTTACCTATACAAGAGCTGTTTCAGCAAGGGATACAGCTCCTGCCTGTGTCACAGGGCCTGCCCGGCAAGTGCAAGGTCCTGCGTTCAATTCCTGGTGCCAAAAAAAAAAAAAAAAAAAAAAAGAGCTATTTCAGTAAAGCAATGAAACCTGTCTGAAGAGTTGAAGAGATAATGGGAGAAGACAGTAGGACACAAGGGAATTCTGCGAGGGAACTTCCTCCCAAGGGAAAAAGGGCCAGCTGCTGTGGGAGAACTGGGGAAAGTGAAGCAGCCAGGCAAGAGCAGACATTCAGGCAGCATCAGGAACTTCCCGGGCTTCATGGCAGTGGCTTAGAGGTTGGTCAGTCACTGTGTTTGTCTCCAGCCATGTGCAGCCAGCCATCCAGCGCAGATGCAGAGAGGACAGAGTAGTGAATGAGATGAGGGCTGGTCAGGGATGTGAGGGCTTGAGGAATGACCAGAGACCCTTTGTTACATTAGCAGAGGGACAGTGACAGGATGGTAGGTACCATAGCTGCAGGCTGAGCATGCTGAACTGTTGGAAAGAGGACTTCAGAGGTGGGACAATGGGAAGACAGAGGGGGTGGGTAGTGAATGGAGACACAACACTAAGACTGTGCTGTGGGCTAGGATGTGGCTACTGATGATGACCAGCTGGGGTGTGACTGTGGGGGCAGGTGGCCAAGACAGTAAGATCATGGCAGTTGAGCTGGTGGATGACTTCAAGAGCCCCAAGTTACAAGGAGACCTGTCAATGTCTACACTGAATCATAACAGGAGTTTTCCTGGAGAGAGTAATAGCTCCAGGGGCTAAAATTATCCCAAAATAATGGAGGGATGTGTGGCATACTGCAGGTATCTGCAGTAGGGTGGCTGGGGGTGACGACAAAAAGCAGGACTTGTAGCAAAAAGAAAGAGGCATGATCAGGAAATTAAATAAGATCAAGGTGGCTGTTTTTTGACAAAGAGAATCTGAAAGAACTGGATATGAATACTCTTGATCTTTCCAGCTCTCCTACTCCCCTAAGTCAGAAATGGGACAGGGGAGCACACCTGCTCTTCATCACTGCCATATGCCTTAGTCCTCCTAAAGAATCACAGCCTTCAAAGTCCTCTGGTCACGGCTTTGACTGCCCAGTGATTGATCGCAAGAACATCATTATCGGCAGCAGCATTTCCCCCTAGTTATTGGACTTAATAGGAACAAGGCTAAAATCAAAAGTCTCTGAAGCAGCATTCCTCAGTCTGTCTTTATTTCAAAAGCGTCACATGACATCACCTGGGACCCGAAATGGATTTTTCCTGCCTTAAATCTCACTGCCTGTGAATGGCATTATTTACTGAATACTCACAGGGAGTGAGTACATTGGTGATGGGGAGGAAGGTTGGTGCTGCAGTATAAAACACCGCTGTCCAGCAGCATGGCTGACATCCATCCTGCATGCCTCTGCTGAGACATTACACATTATGTGATCCTTGCACTAATGATCAAAAAGGGAGTCTCCAAAGGCCATTATCTGGACCTTTATGTTCTTATTCTAACACAAAATGACATTCAGGGGTGGGGGAGCTGACCTCAGCTATGACTCACAGAATACATGTGACTCTTTCGATGGAAATAAATGACAAAGTCGCCCCTTCCTCCTCCACGCACTCACCTCCCAGAAATGCTGAAAGTGTACAGTGAAGGGAGAAAGGGGCCATTATGATTTAGACTAAAATATCCCCTAAACATCTCAGATGTTCAGAGATGGGAGTTTTGGGAGAGGATTGGATCGGGAGGGTTCTAACTTCACCAGAGGTTAAGGTACTGATAATTTGATGGCATTATGGGATACAGTAAAAACTTAGGTGGGGGTATTGAAAGGCATTGAGTCACACGGGTATGACCTTATGGACTCTATCTGGCCCCTGGCTCTTCCCCTGGCATCTCTCTGCTTTCCAGGTGCCATGAGCAGGATTCTTCTGCCGTGCCATTCTGCTGTGATGATTCTGCCTTGGGCTCACCCAGCCATGGACTCAAACCTCTGAAACTATGAGTGAAAATAAGACTTTTCTCCTTTAAAAAGTGTGTGTCAGGTATTTTGTCCCAGCAATAGATAGCTGACACAGGAGCCAAGGGTTTCATGCTGTGGGATCAATAAGACACGGGTACTTTCTAGGCCCACAGAGCTTCAAAGACCTACTGTCTTGATGGTGTAGTTCAAAACATTAACCTCACACCAGTTCAGTGCACATTAACACTTTTATAGTTACCTTTCTAATCATATTAGTCATGAGAGATGCTAGGAATAAAATGAGGTGAAGCTGCCAGCAACCAATAATCAGAGCCCTCTCCTAATACTCATGTGCACCAAGATGAAAACAGATGGGTCCCATCCCTTGGACACTACAGAAATGGCTCCACAGTCTTAAGACACCACACCCTAAATAACACACATTAGCAGAAGTGATTTCTATAATTATTAGTTTTGGGGGTTTTGTTTTGTTTTACTGATTCTGAACACAAATACATGATAAATAAGGCTTTTAATCACCTTTGCCTCCCAATCACTGTCTCCTTCCAAGGTAATTAGTGTCATGGATGAGGTATGCATCCTTTTGTTCTGAAAGAAGGAAAATCTAAGATCAAGGCACTGGCAGATTCAATATCTTGAGGGCCCACTTTCTCATAAAGTCATCTTCCCACTCCAACCTCATACTCAGATCACAGCACCATACATATTTACACATCATATGTACATGTACTTATCATGCTGTATGTGTGTACTTTCACAGTACTAGGGGTTCAACCTGAGCTACATTCCTACCTTTAAAAAAATTTTTGAGACAGGGCCTCACTCAGTTACTAAGCTGCACATGCTGGGCTTGAAATCATAATCCTCCTGCCCCAGTCTTCCAGAGCATTGGGATTGCATGAGTGTGCTACCATCTCCAACTTATTTTCTATTTTTAAACAAATGACAGTGCCTATTGAATTCCTCTATAATTTTATCCATTAAGATGTCTCAAAATCCATGTAAGCAAATGATATGGATTTCCCTGTTTTAGATAAGTAGGAATCGAGAATACTCATGTACCATAACGTATTTAACGTCTCTGCTATTATCATGATCGAGGTTAACAGTGTTTTTCTATTTAAACACCAGTAATTCCCTTATAAATACCTCTTTCTACAGGCATGAGACCCAGCGTGGAACTACTAGGTCAAAAGAATACACACAGCTGTTATTTCAATAGACCCCACGCCAAATTATTTGCCTAACGAACTGTATGAAATTTATTCCCCTATTGGAAGTACAGGCACACATTATGGTCAACACCTGTAAAACCTTTACTTTTTGTCAGCTTAATAACTGAAAATGGTACCCTTAGTTTGAATTTCCTTAAAAATAAGGATGTGCATCTTTTCACATTTATAAATGCCTATGCTATAGGAAATGTTTCTTTTTACATGAATTTCTTTGTAAAATGTGTCCACTCGCTATTATTTTTTGTCCTTTTCTCAATGATTTGTAAGGGTTCTTTATATATTCTAGAAACTAATTCTTCACCTGTTCCATGTGCAAATAGTTTCAGTCTTGTCTTTGAACTTTTATTTATAATTTTTAAATTCCATTTCTCAGGTACACATATCAAACTTGGTAAGTTACAGCATTTACATTTGTAGTACATTTGTGTTACCAGAAGTCACCCATCTAAATTTTTAGTGAATGAATGGACAGATCCCTTAATCATTTTTTTATGTTAAAGAAAGAAAAAAATAACAATAAAACTGTGTATCAAAACAGGCTAATACAACAGTAACAATAATTAATACATTGCATATTCTTAATAGTAGTTATTCAGAGTACAAGATATAGGCGTGACATCTTGTCCAAACAATATTAGCTCAAACCTTTCTTTTTTCAATCAGCTATGAGAAACTAGCTATATATCTGTCTTAACTATCTTGCATGTATATATATTTTATTTTCCCTGTCTTCCTTTCCCCTTTTCCTCATCCCAGTTTCTCTTTTCTTTTGAACAGTTTCTTCTGAATTCACAATACCTACTGTACCTTTTGAATCTTATTTACTTATTCAGTTTCTCAAACCAGGAAGACAATACGATGTTTACACATATGGATCTGATTTATTTCACTTATGAGTATGGTCTGGAGTTGTATCCACTTACCTGTAAGTCTCAAGTTTATTCTTCTTTATGGCTGAGTAATACACTAGACCCATTTCTATCGCCATGCACTAAACTAAAGTCAAAATGGATCAAAGATCTAAATATTATTTCCTGGAAGAGAAAACGGGCAGAAACCTTGAAGACATAAGGGTAGGTAGAGACTTCAAGTACAAAACTCAGACCGAATGGAAAGTACTACAAAGAATCAACAAATGGAGTCTCGTCATATTAAAAAGCTTTTGCACAACAAAAGAAATTATCAACAGGCAATCCACAGAGTACAGAAAAAATTATAGCCTCAGACATACAAAGAACTGAAAAAAAGCAGGCCTCCAAAATTCAAAGACTTTTCATTTTTTTTAATGTACAGCTGTGCACTAAATGTCTCTATTTTTCCCAATGGTTACTAATACTACATTGATTATATATTAAATCCATACAGTTTTGTCAGTTTCTACATTCCACTGACCCTTTTCTCCATATCATAACTAAGCTGTTTTGATTCCTACACCTTTAAAATATATTATGACATTTGGTAAGCAACCCATATCTTCTCCTCACCCTGCTTTTTGTTTTTCCAAATTGATCTTGGCTATTACAGCACACTTATCTTTTCAAATGAACTTTAAAATCTATTTTCTTCAAATTCCATAATAAAGGTCCTTTGGGGTTTTGATTAGGATTTCACTAAATTTCAGAGTAGGTATAATTCTACATCTTTACAACACCGCATTTCCCACCTATGAGCATGTACTCTCTCTATATATTTATAACCCTCTAGTAACAATTTATAGTTTTTGTAGATAACTCATTGTAGGTTATTATCTTGCACTCCTGAAGTCTCTTAGTTTTAATTTCTCATAGATTATCTTGCAATCATATCGTCTGAATGTTTTGTCTCTTCCTTTTCAATATCTGTTACTACTTTTCATATTGTATTTGCTACAGAAAGGTCTGCAGAACAATGCTGATTAGTACCAACAAAGCTGACCACTCCCATTTCGCCCACATCTACTGGATTTGTTTTAATGCTTCTGCAGCAGGTGAGTTTACTGTGACTACCCGTCCTCAAGTTAAAGACATTTCTATCTATAGCTACTTTTTTTTTGTCTTTTTCCTTTTTATCGGTACTGGGGATCGAACTCACGACTGCCTGCTTACAAGGCAGGCACTTATGCCGCTGAGCTAAATCCTCAGCCCCTTACTGCTACTTTTTAAACACACAAAGAGACAAACATCATCAAATGCTTTTTTGGCATTTATTGAGATAAGCATACTTTTTCCTCATTTAGTCTACAGAATTGTTCATTAGATAAGTGGGTTTTCTAATTTTGAACCAATATTTCAGTCGTGGTAAAAGTTCTTTTGATCATAATATACTTTTGTTTTTTATTTTAAACCTGTGTTTATAAGTGAAAACAGCCCATATATACCTTTTATAATAATTAAAGAACATCCCCAAAAGGTACTAAACATAGATTTTTTCCATTATTTGCCATAAAGAAAATATGCAAGACATGCTTATGCTACATTTTAAAAAGCTTGAATATAAATTGAATATTTATCAAATGAACAAGAAGAATAATGCTTTAACCTATGTTACCTGCTGAGTCCCTATGGAGATTAATGCCATCGGCATCAATCCAGCCACTTACTCGCCCAGGACTCAGTGAAGTGGTCCTCTCTGCCCTTCCAACAGTGTCCACACCCAGGGATGCACCAAGCCCCAACACTGTCCCAATCGTCCTGCTTCACATCTCTTGCTAGGAAGCCATGGGGAATGAGCAAAGTTAGGACTTTAAAGCACATTTCACCCTAGTCACCCCGTCCTTTATGTCTTCATCTACAGAGGGACAGGGTACTTATTATCAAGTCTGAAAGGCTGTAGTTAAAGGTAAGTGAAGCAACATGTGTAAAGGACATGCCACCACGTTTGCTCCTGTGACTATGCTCAAGACCATCTTCTCTCCTCAGCTTGCCCTCTGTCACTGGCCCAGGCTGGGCTCACCAGTTTACATCTTATCCATGATAACCACTCTCCAGACACAACCACCAAAGCTCACTTTCTAAAATAAAAATGAAATCATGCAATTCACCTGTTTAAATCTTGCCGCTGGCTCCCTTCTACCTATCAAATAAAACTCCCAGTTTTCTGTGTGACGTACAAGGCCCAGCTCATCCTACTTTTCTGACTTTGGCTTTCTGTGTTGCTCCTGTATTTTACATTCGGTGCACAAAAATCTGTGCTTTCTACTGAAATCCCTAAGTTTGCTCCAAGAGTTTTTCTTCTCTATAATCTCATCCCTCATTCAGAAAGCCTTTCCTTTCATTTGCTCTGAGCAAAATACATCTGTTCAATCTTTGAAGACGTAGCTTAACTTCTTAAAAATAAAAATAATCCCATACCAAATTAAACACCCATTGCCTGTGTTTCCCTACCAGTTTCTAACTACTGTTCTATCAAAAATCACTTGCTTCTGTATCTCCTCCACTCACTGAGGCAAAGATTGTGTCTTAGGCCATCTGTGTATTTAGTGCTTTATGAAGGAATCAAACAATTAATAAAACAAATAGAAATTTGATTTTAAAGAAGACTATTCAATCTTTCAACAAAGCAAAGTTGCTTCTGATCATGTCAATCACACTTTCAAAGTTGATTTCAACAAGGGGGCTTTTAAGTCAGACGCTATCACAGTGAAGCCAATCTGCACTAACGCCAACTGAAAAGGTACACAGGGGTAGATATGGAGCCACCTGATTATTCCATGAGTTTGGATTAGACCCATGTGGGCAGAGAGGCCCCTCTGAAACGACCCTGCGGAAATGAGGTCAGCTGCCCTCAGGAACTGAAAACATTATATTACTTTAAAGAACATGTCTTCTAGGATGCAGACTTGTTCTCCATGAGAAGTTTTCTCCCCGAAGTACAAATAGCCAGCTACCTACTCTCTCCAAATAAATGAGTTTGATTTTATTAGTGTATGTAACAATAAAAGTTAAGAAATACAGGTTAGAAAAAGATTTTTTTCAGCAAAGTTACTTGTGGATACTAAAAGAAAAGAACCTTCTGCCATCATAAGACCTTCCAAAAATAAACACCATTTAACATCACAGGTTGAGGTATGTATCATACTTGTTGAGCTAAAAAGAGGGTCCAAACAGTCCTAAGACCCCCCCCCTTATAAATGCTGACAGCCCAACAGTAATAGTTGTTCTATCTAGAAACTATAGAAAAAATGCAAAATAAACAACTGACCTTGGTCTTATCTTTTTAAATAACCCAATATGTAAATCACAAAAATAACCTCAATGAAGAATACTTTTGAATGAGTATTTAATTAAAAATATTTTTCTTATATTATTCTCCAACAAAAAAGGAAAGAAAGATCCTACAGAGAGAGAAGTCACCAGATTTGGCTCAAATATTAGAATTTGGGATTAATTTTTAAGATTTATTTGTCAATTTGAAAAACTCACTCGTGGAATAAAGAGCTTACTACAGGTACACAGCAGAACAGAAGCTCCCAAGACACTGTCACCAGGATGAAATGGGATTAGCTTTGTAGTTCTTATAATCTTCTTCACAAAAGAATGCAATCTCAGTTTCGCTGGCTGAAAAACAGAAGATGAAAAAAATATTTTAATATAAAATTAAATTTGAAAGGATGGAATTACATATTATTTTGGTTTTGTATTTTAGCAGTTTTAGATGCCTAAAGTGAAAAGCATGAGTTATTTGTTGGGTTGTACAATACATTTCACCAAACCAACAAGAAGTTTAAGTGTGGCTGTAAGAGCCTAAAAATTAAAATAATAATTTTTAAAAACTCCCAAAATTAGAATCAAGAGTTAACATAAGAGTTAAGATTTTCAGGAGGAAATCATAGCATTGCTCACTTATTGTCCTCTTCATGGCCCCAGAAACTAACTGATTTTTTTCAAATATGCTACTCAGTTCCTGAAAAGGTAGGGGGAGTGCTTTTCCCCCTTGAAATTAGCCTGTAGGTATAATAATTTAATACTTAGAGGATCAGTAGAATATTTTACAGATCACTTTACATTCTCCCTCATGACCCATCAAAATATGTGTCTGAAGAAGTTAATTTTTTGCCCTGCTTATGATTAATTCATGAGGCTTCAACAATATGCAAAGTGAAAGACACAAATTGGCTTCTACTGCAATACCTTCAAACACCCCTAATTATTCACAGGGGACCTGGCACAGCTAAAGGACTCACAAAGGTTCAGAGAAGCCACAAGTCTTTCAACCTACCAGGTCAAGGACTCTGTCTTCTAAAACAATAAGTCAGTAGCATTATTAATTCAGACTGGATACAAATCTGATGGAAAGCCTTCCAATTATTAAACATGCAATTCTTTAAGGTGTTGTGCCAACAAGTTCCACATTGGTGTTTTTTTTTTAATTAAACCAGAAGTTAATACAGTCTGCTTGGCTTTTACAGAAAGAGCAAAAGGAACTTTTCAGAATCTCGACAAGAAAACAGACAAGATTATTTGTAATGAATACTGAGTACGCAATTATCATATATTCTAAAAACAGACAAGCACAACTGTTCAAGCCAAATAGGATAATAAGAAGAGTGCCAAGGATTACCACTGGTGTCTTAGTTTACAGCTCTAATCTCATCATTAGAATTTATCATAAAAGAATGAAATTAAAGTGATTAGCATGGCATTTCATTAAAAATGTCTTTGGTGTTAATATCTCTCCATTGTAAGTAAGCAATTTCACTACAAAAATAAGTCCTAAGAGAAGAAAACAAAATCACTCATCCTCAGGGTCCTCCTTACTATCCTACTATAGATTTAGATAAAGATTAAATTTAATCTGAGTAGAAGAAAGTCAAGATTACAAACTCTCATCACAATGAGCCTCCGGGCAGGGGAACTAACCAGGAGGAGATGTAAACAGAGGCACCCTGAGCAAACAGTAGGTTAGTACACAATTCAAATTTACAAGGATCAGAATTTCAAAGAATGGGTATAAGGCAGTACCTGTGGAATCAGTAACGTTAAAAAAAAAAAAAAAAAAAAAAAGGCTGGGAAGGGGGTTCAGAAAACTGGATATTCAAAGGTAAGATATTCTGAGATCTGTCCTTTCTACAAAAGCCTCCTTGGGTTTTCTTTTTGAGAGAAGCATGCTTAGAGCAGACCTATATAATTTAGAAGTGATTCTAACCATCTTTCTATTGCAGAAGGAGAAAAGGCCCGCTGTTCGTCACACTCACAGAGCAAGGCTTTACTGTAAGGTGCTGTTTACACACAGACCTTTTCATAGTCTTTGCCTGCCCAGCACGGCTTGATTCACGTTAGCTGTAATTAAAATCTTTTCTTACTGCAGTTGACATTTATCTGTAACCCTTCTGAGAAACTAACACATCACCCAGCTCCTCAGTCCAGGAGGAGCAGGCTCCGAATACAAGGATGCAGTTTGACAGAGCAGTTTTGTTTGACAAAGTGGGTTCTCTCAGGCCTAATTAACCTAGAAAGCAACTCATTATTTATAGAGTGCTGATGCCATCTCTCTTAGGCTCAAAATGAAATCATCTAAGGTGAAAATTTTATTTTCAGATGACTCAATTTCTTTTTCCAGGAAAACTGGTTTCATAAATAGGGTTAAACTCAAATACTTCAAGTTGATTAAAAAATTGTTTATTCTGAAATTGAGAAATACATAAATTACATGTTACTCTGAACATTGAAAAGTAAACAGATAGTGGCTGTTAAAATTTGGTAGTCTTCAAACAAAAGGAATAATGTTTTTAAAAAATCTTTAGACCTCTGTTGAGAATGCTTGAGAGAATGATTTCATGAATTTATAGTGCAAATTGATTTGCTGATTTAAGAGGAAACAAATAATAAATGATTTTTCAAGACCTTTCCATAATCACTCTTTTCATCATCATCTTTCAAATTCCTGCTGCCCAGATTCTATTTAAAATGGTTCCTTTACGAACGGCTGGGAAAGGACCCTCCAGAAACCTCCATGTGCTGGTCCCCGAGGGCACCTGATTTTAAATTAAATGTGCTGCAGGCGGCAGTGCAGTCAGGTGCACAGGGCCTTGGCATAGGAATCTGAAATGAATGTGCAATCTAAAATCCAATAAATACACTGCCACTTCATCGCTTCGTTTTACTATCAAACGAAATCAAGTAAAAGCCTTCCAAATACATTTGTGGATCATTTTAACACTGATGTTCCAGTTTAATGAAATGAACAAACCAAGAAAAGTTTGGATATAAAATTAATAATTTTATTAAACTTCCTAGCAGACTTCTCTGTCACACACACACACCCATTTATCTTTTGCTTTTTGTGGTACTGGGTATCAAAACCAAGGCCTTTGCACTAAGCTACATTCCCATTTCTTTTTTAACTTTTATTTTGGCACAGGGTCTTACTAAGCTGCTAACTTGTCCAAGCTGGGCTCAAACTTACGACCCTCCTACCTCAGCCTCCCAGAGTGCTGGGAGTACAAATGTGCCACCACACCCAGTGATGCACGTACCTTACAGAAAAATACTGTCTTTAAATACAAAAAAATTAGAAAAAAATTTTAAATGTTAACCCACAAAAATTAAATTCATGTATTTAAACTCCTTAACTAATCCATCTCAAAGTTATCTATTGATGGAGATCCCTCAGATGCTTTCTAGATGCCTGGCTTCACATTGGTCATATAAATCACCACTCCTGCTGTCTGAAGGATGGAGACCAAAACATGTACATGGGCTTTGTGGTCTCATCAGGGCACATTACTGTCATGTGACAATAAAGACAGATTAAAAAATCATAATACTTGATGGGTATCAGGCAATTCATGGAACAATCTGAGACCCAAGACGAGGACAAAGTTTCATCTTCTCTCCTGCTCCAGGAATATATTGTACCTATCCTCCCAAGTTTTGCCAAACTAATCTGTAAATCATTCAAAGCAGTGCTCACAGCTGAGACCTACTTCTTCTTCTTTTTTTTTTTTTTTTTTTTTGTCTTTTTCCTTTTTATCGGTACCGGGGATCGAACTCACGACTGCCTGCTTTCAAGGCAAGCATTTATGCCACTGAGCTAAACCCCCAGCCCTCAGACCTACTTCTAAGCTTTTGCTAAAAGAGGCCACCATCCAACGAAAAGGTCTCAACCACTGTGCTTTGCATATTATGATTCAAATGTTTTCTGGTAGAGATGGTGTAAAACTACAGATTGAAGAAAGTAAACAGTACACAATCCAACCTTTCATAGGAGGGGCACAAACCGGTAATTTCCACACAGCAAGTGGAGAGCAAAAAGAGAGGAACAATCATACTCCCGGATAGTATTGCTCAGCCATGAAAAGGAAGAAATGCTGTCATTTGACGTAACACAGATGGAACTGGACAACATAGTGTTCAGAAAAATAAGTGAGAAAGAGAAAGACAATAGTGTGTGTTCCTACATGTGGAAGCTATTAAGAGTTGTTTTCATAGAATTAGTAAAATAAGAGTTACCAGGGGCAGGAGATCGGATAAGACAGGGAGTGATTAGTCCCTGGGTAAAACATCACAGTTAGATAGGAGGAATACATTCTAGAGTCTGTAGCACAGTAACCCGACTACAGTTAACAGGAATCTGTCATATATTTCAAACAGCTATGAGAAAGCATTTTGAATGTTCTCAGTATTAAAAATGATAAGTGTCTGAAGTGAAATATGCTAATATCACTGATTTGAACATAATACACACAATGTATGTGTATCAAAATACATTATATTTGCAATTATGTACCAAAATTAATAATTTTTAAATGTAAAAATAAAATTGCAAAAAAAAAAAAAAAGATTAGTAATAATAGGGGACAGAAAATCCAGGAAGCTGTACTAGACTTCTAGAACCATTTGATTTTTCAGTCCAGTGCCTATGTTACCAACCACAGGACTGTCACTGTGGATACTGACCAGCACCAGGAAGTGCTGTCACAGGAAGGAAACGGCCATGTCCTTAGGTGTCATCATTCACACAGGACTGGAAAGGTCTAACCTTCAGAAAAAACAAGTGGAAACACAGTGCTAATAAACCGGGAGCAAGGAATCCTACCATATTAGCAGGCGATAACCACAAGATGTGCGGTGCAGGTGCTGGGTGTTGGTTGGGGCCAGTGACGGAAGCAACAAGCAGAATGAAAGCAAACCACATGGGAGCTTTGCAATTATTACAGAAGCCGACGTGGTAAGAAAGCTTCCCTCACATAAGCACTTACTGTTTGGCCCACTATCACTTGCTTAAAAATATTCTCAATAAACCATAACTGGTTTTAGAAGAGTTACCCTGCCACAGTTTCTTTATTAAACCAGAGCAGATTCAAGAGCTAGCCTGAGAATGCAGCAAAATGAAAGCATTATACATATAAAAAACTAAAACAAAAGCTTGTGTGCACATTTATTACTTAGGTGAATTAGCCCATAAAACTACAATTATTAAGAACAAGGTAAAAAATCCTTTAAATCATAAATAATTTCAAGTTCTATGTAAAACCCTCATCTTCCTTCCAGAAAGCAAATTTTATTTATATATTTTAGCACTAAGTTCACCACAAAAATCTCCACTGACAAGAGTAGAATATATACAGCCAATCTGCACTGCAGATAAAAGGCCAGAGTATGAAATGGAGAATCACTCTGTATGAAAAGGAATCTTCAAACACGATTGTGCCCTAATTTCCTCCACCTAGTCTTCCTTTTCCTTTTATGAGTCCTGCAGAAAGTCTTAGTGATAAATTTGTTACACTGGCAGTATTCCCATGGCAACTGGCTATGATAGCAGAGTGACAGCTCTACAGCAAGATCAAGTGGTGAGAAAAGACAGAATGACTTCGAATTTTTCTCTTAGAAACCTAACCAGACCCAGCACAAAAGGAGGGAAAATTCCCTAGAAAAATCACACCTTTCAAGTATCACTTTTACAACTCAACTCCCTCGCAGAATTTTCTGTGCCTCTCTGGGGACCCTCGCACCTCCTTCCCCAGATGTAACTTTGGCTCATTTGCAGGAAGACAGATATCGCTCTGAGAAACAAAGAGGAAACTGTTCACAGCTTGGGCTGAATTTGCTTGTGACCAAGCTGCTGCCCAGCCAGTGACTGGTGGGACAGGCAGGTGCAGTCCCTGTACCACCCTGAGAAAAATGAGGAGCCCACTAGAAGGATGTGATTCTGGTCTAATAAGAAAGACAAAAAGAGGAATGCGATTCCTGCCTTTGTAGCGAGTTTGGTATGTGAGTCAGTCTGAAATTAATGACAATGTACCAAACTGGTTTCAGGAAATTCAAAATATTTGCCAATTGTCTTCTCCAGAATGGTTTTAGGGACTTTTAAATACATTGTTCCTGAGATCTTCATTCTTTTACTCAACTCTCATGACAAGCTTCTGAAATAGGTTTCATTATTTCTATTTGTATAGGAAATAAGCTAGAAATTCAGAGAGGCTATGTGGCTCACAAAAGGTCACAAAAGCAAAGACTTCACTCAAACCAATTACTCTATATTCAGAGATTTATTTTCTTTTTTAAAAAATTGGTTCCTTACAAGGAATACATATGACTTGTAGAAACTGCTATAAAAATCACGTAACAATTAGATAATATAGAGAAAAAAGAAAAAAAAATTACTGGTAATGCCAGCACTCCAAGAAACCATTTCTATAGTTTGCTATACACTCTTACATCTATATACACATATGAAGATGTTAATTATGTATTTTAAATGATAATGTTATCACATAATATATTCTGTTTCTATGAAATGAAGTTCTACATCAGAGATTTGCAAACAGGAAAGGTAACAAAGAATGAGAATCCAGTCCTCTAAAGGTATACCACCTCATAGGCTGAGTAAGATGCTTTTGCTGGTTTCGGGGTAGATAGGACAGTGAGGCTTGACCTAAAGAGTATCAGGGAAAAGACATTTCTAACAGAGTACAGAATATGTTTCCCCACTCTGTGTACTCCCCTAAACTTCTGCTTCCTGTTACTAATAAGAACTGTTTTTCATATAACTATTCCTTTTAGTAGAATTTATTTTATTAACATTATAAGACATCTTTATAAAATCTTTCTTTTATCAGTCATGTTTGCTAAATTTTTTTTCATAGTTTACTCCACGTTAGCTATTTATATTTTTTGGCTTTATGCATTAAAATTTATCACTTTTGCCCTTTTATGGTCTCTACCTTTGCGGTCAAAAAGTACTTCTTGCAAGATTATGAAATTATTGAACTACACATTAAGATTTTTTTTTACACTGAAACATTTAATCCACACAGAATTTAATTTTGGAATAATGATTTATCTAAAGATTTAAAATGTATCTTCCTGACTGCTTTGGCAAGGGGCAATGTAATTTGCTGGCTAATTCATTCTTTTCCCATTTACATTGAGACACTGACTTTATCATTTTGTTATCTTATCTGTTGTTGTTTTAGTTTTTGGATTAGAAAGTCTTTTCATAAAGCTTTCAATTCCCACATCACTGTCTATGGTTTTCATTATAGCTTTATGTTTTAACAACAGGGCTACCCACTAGATGCCATGAATCTAAATAACACGGGTTAAAATAATAGCGTTTGACAAGACAAATACCAACTTAAACAGTGTTTTTCAAGTAAGTCAATCTTATGAAAAGGTACTAATTCTACCAACTAATAGGCTTAAACACAAAAAAAAGTCTAAAATTTTACAGCCTGCTATTTAAAATCCTATTCACACAGCAAGGTCCACATGAGGAATTCACATAAGTAGCATGAATTGCACACAGGTGAATTCTTGACATGTGCAATTAAGTAACTCAACAGAACACCAGTCGGAAAACGTACAGCCTCCCAAGATGGCCCTCTCTGAGTGCTGCTTAGCCAGCGCCTACACAGAAGAATGAGGAAGTGTCACCTTGGAGACTCCATCGTGGTCTCCGGCTAGGGAGGTTTGCCAAAGGCACAAGATTTTCACTACTCACACTGCCTTGCTAATCGGCACTCTTCTACTGCCAGATCATCTTTAGATAAACATGTAAGTAGAATAACAGTGACATCTAATGGCCATTAAGACATGTCACAGAGCATTTCTTTAAAATAGAACTATATGTATAGTCTGGATTGAAAGGTTAAATTAGGCAACTTCCCAACTGCACACACAATTTTAAATTCCATGCATTGGTTGGCTCTGAGTGACTTGTATGACTCTCAGACACCACACTGCATGTTGTACAAACAACATCTCATTTCATTATTCCACATTAGTTCTACTATGTCTACTTCGGCTCAAATGATGCTGAGGAGAGTAAGCAGAGGTGACACTAATAACTGTCAATCATTTAAAATGGTCCTCAGCAGAATTCTGAGCAAACTTTCTGGAAAGAAGTACTTGCATTCTGCTCATCTGGAAAGCAGATATGTACCACCCTTGGTCAAATGATCAGAACATACATCATCTTCATCCTCCCCCGAACAGTGAGGGGCGTGCGAAGAGCAGCAAGGCGGGAGCTGCTTGGCAGAGAACTGCCCAGATGCAATCAGCTAGGCCTCCTCCCACAGGCCAGGAAAATAGGTTTCCTCCAGTCACACACAGTGCCCTCCTCACCGATTCCTGCAGCTTTCAGAGTGCTGTCTTCTTTCAGCAGGAGCCTGTCGTCATCTTCCAAACTCAACACAAGTTCATTTGTCTAAAAAGAAAGAAGATCTGCATTTTATCAAAGCTGATATGGGTTTCACATTTGATAAGGATTCTCAAAGGCAGGGAGTTATTACCTAGAGATACAGCAACAATTGAAGTCCCACTGCACTCCCACTACAGTAATGAGAAGAGGGAGCGAATATCCAGTGCAGACCAAGTAAGTGCACTCACCTCTTTGCCACTGCAGGGCTATGCAATAGCATGGGCCTTTGGGTTACTCAGGGCTCAAACTCAGGCTACAAACTGCAAAGCCTCTCTAAGGCTCAGTTTCCTCATCTCTAGAAAAGGGGGATAAACGCATCTTCCTCATCTCCTTTGGTGTGATAATGTGAGATGAAGCATACACCTCAGTACCTCTGTGCTGGCTGGCAATGTTCTGTTGTCATGGTCATCACTATCTTCTCATTTCCTCAGTTCAACAGCCCAGGCAAAGGAAAGCATGAAGGCAGAGGCCCGGTTTATGTGGCTCCTCCGCAATGGGCCTGAGGTCAAGCTCTGGCCAGTCTGATTTCTGAGAGAACTTTACCTCTAATGGCCTAAAGTCTACAGACACAGTGGTACTTTGGTTTGTGAAATTGATTCTCCATAATTCTGGTCACAAAATAAATTGGATGAGAACCAAATCAAATTCAATGGTTAGGTTCAAAGTTGTTCTTACGGGAAATTTGATGCGGTTCTTATCCAATAAGAGTCTGCAACCAGAATGGTGGGAAGAATTAAGTTCAGGAACAAGTTATAAAGCCTTCACCCAACTGAGCAGGGATCTAGTCCCATGTCATATTAACTGTAATAGTTTTCTGTGCAATTTGGAGTGGACATAGATGAATTTGCTCTGTAACAATATTTACAAAGCTAGTTAGAACTCCACAGAGAAGTAAATCTCGAGTTGGTATAAGCCTTGATAGGCACACAGAGATTACCAGTTGAGCACACAGTATCATTGCCAAACTGAACACAGCTGTTGAGCCATGTATTGTATTTCTACAATATGGCCAAGAGAGAGGCAACACAAAGGCCTCTCAGCTGTCAAAACAGAAGCCCTTGAAGCCAGTATCTATGTTCTATGGTTCGTGAACTTTAGTCACTGGCAAGTACAGGGATTTGAACTCCACAGTACAAGCCTTTATTTATTTATTTATTTATTTTTGTCTTTTTCCTTTTTATCGGTACCAGGGATCGAACTCATGACTGCCTGCTTGCAAGGCAGATGCTTATGCCACTGAGCTAAATCCCCAGCCCCACAAGCCTTTATTTTAAAAAATCATTTTTATTAATATGTACTTTATTAACATGTTTGGTCCCCAGCACAGCAAAAAAAAAAAAAAGTTACTTACAATAGGTAATACAACATTCTTTAAGTACATGTGGGTAAGTGTGAAAAATTGAATCCTATCTCAATTCCTGTCTACCAAATACCTGTATCTCCTCCAGAGAACTTGAACTAATTCCTGGGCATCCTTCTCAAATTTTCTCTGAATGTACAATGCACAAATAGCCTACAAAATGCTGTGTTCTAACATCTTGTTTTCTCTTAAAACCAACTTAAAATCATTCTGCTACAAAGAGCCATTTCATAACTTAATCAAGGTTGCAGCACATTTCACTGAAGGGACACACACATAAGCATACTGTCCTTACCCATGGACATTTCTGTTTACAACTTTTTTTCTCTATAAATATTCCTGCAAATGATTATCTTTATACACATATTAAATTGCATATGTTCAATTTTACCTCTAAGATAAATTCCTAGAATTGCTGTCACAGAACTATGTGCAAATTTAATTTTAGCAGATGTTGCCAAATAACTCCCCAGAGAAGCCACACCAATTTACACTAATGCTACTAATCACTGAGTACCTGTTTCCACATACATTTGCCAACAGTATTACCAAAAATTTCTGATATTTGCCAATCTGATAGATGTAGATTAAGTGGAGTCTTAATTTGTAGTTATTTTCAGTAAAGCTGTTCATAATTTGCTTGATTTGCATTTTTGTTTTTTTCTTTTGCATCTTGTTTTTCTCTTCTGAGAAAAGAAAAGCTGAGCTAAAACTCGGAGTCTGCATGCTAAACAAACTCTACTCTGAGCTATAATTATTTTATAAACTGAAAAAAATGAGTCTTTTTTAGAAGTTAGAAAAATTTCCCCCACTTTTTGTTTTTGGACTTTTCTCACAGTTTCTTTGCTTTTCTTTTGTGGTACTGTGAATTGAAGGTATGGCATTTCTTAAAAATAAAAACGGTCCTAAATTAAATTTGATTGAATAAGTTAATGAAGTAAGATGTATGCTTATGTTTGTCCAATTTTCTTTTTTTTTTTTTTTTTTTTTTTAATTTTTATTTAAGGAGAAAAGAAAAGAAAGAAAAAAAAAACAGTGAAGGGGTACAAGTTATACAGGTTTACAGAATAAAAAAATGCGCAGTAGGAAATCACTAGTTAATGGATTACATATTGCCATCTTAGAAATAATTGTTCAAGTCACAAAATTAAAGCTTGTAGAGTGGACATTCCAACAATGATACTGCAAACAGTTCTGTTCAATGATCCAATAAAACTCTGTGATATCATTTTCTATCTTATACTTTTAAATATACATGCAGTTATATAGTTTAGAGCACTTTCTTTTCCTCTCTTTTGTACAGTGACTATTACACATTTTGGGTTTCATTGCTCCCACAGTTCTTGTTGCTTTTTTGGAAGAGAGTAAAACCAAATGTGACATAACAGAACAGAATCGGTCAAGTCAAAAGGGTGGACATAATAGATAATATAAAAAACATAATACAAGGTGATCAACAATGGTTACCATAATGCCTCCCGCTATTTCTAATAGAATTGCCTATATCATTAGTTGTAATACAATTGAACAAAACCGTAAAGAATAAAACCGACAAAACCAAAACATTGGAGATATTGTAGGTCTTCAAAAGTAGATAAAAGTCAACGAGAATGGGCGTTATAATGAATCTCATTATCTTCTCAGCTGATGCCTAAACTTTCGAACCTGATACTATCCAGCAAAACAGAATATAGGAACCTCAGTCAAAAACAAGATGGTGAGAGTAATACAGGGCTTCAAATCGAGATAATAGAAAGTCAAAGTGGGTTACTATATTATATCCTGCTATATTTTTCCCTGTAATTAAATGGATAAAAATAAAAAAGTAAATAATGGAGTGGAGATTGAGAAAAAAAGAGGGCATAACAGCGAAACAGGGCAGATCAAAACATAACCATTTAAGCAGAATAGTGTTTCACCACCAGCTAATCCTGACCCAAAAATGGTTACCATATTGACTCCCTCCCTGAAGTCCTTGAGTACAACTTCATATACTGTAGCATTAAGTATATCAAAACAATGTAAATCCATTTAAGAGAATGACAGCATTATAGAGTATTTAGAATCGACTAACAGAAAATGAACAATGGTCTCTGTATAATCTCCTTGTCTTTAAAAGGTTTTTTCTTATACTATCGTAGATAACAAAATCCAATAAGCTACAACCTGTTTAGACCATTGGAGACAGAAGAACAAAAGCTAGATGAGACTTCAAAACAAGATGGTATTAAATCAGCATTACCTATTAAGATGTCATTTTCTCCAAAAAAAGCTGTTCCTATCATCCAATCTTCTCTGTCTCATTTCTGTTGAGCTCTTTTTCTGTCAGTAGCTGTCAGTTTGTCTTCTTCGTTTTGTTCTCTGCTCTATTCGTTGTGGCCTCCCCGCCCCTATTTCTGGGTTGTTTGTATTTTTCTTTTTTTAGAATATCCTGCAATACTTTCTGTAGGGTTGAATTGGTGGTTGCAAATTCCCCCAGTTCCTCTTTATCTTGGAAGCACCTCGTTTTTCCATCAATTTCCAGGGACAGTTGTGCAGGATATCTCAATCTTGGCTGTAGATTATTATCTTTCAAAGCTTGAATTATTTCTCCCCATGCTCTTCGTGATTTGATGGTTTGTGAAGAGAAATCTGCTGTAATTTTGATGGGTCTTCCCTTGTAAGTGATCTGTTTCTTGTCTCTTACAGCTTTTAATATTCTGTTCTTGTATTGAATTTCTGGAATTTTTATTATTATATGTCTGGGTGTTTCTCTGTTAGGGTTGTAGGTAGCTGGGGTCCTGTATGCCTCATACATTTGAGTATCTTTACCTTTTGCTAAATTAGGAAAATTCTCCTGGATTATTTCTGTGAGTAGCTTTTGTAGTTCACTTGTTTGTGTCCCTACTTCTTCTTTTATGTTCTTAATCCTTAAGTTATGGCTCCTCTTATCATCTTCTTGTCTTTGTATTATTGCTGTGTGTTTCTTTGTTATTTTTAAGAAGTTTTTCATTTCATTCTCCCATGTTTCAAGTCTGCCCTCCAATTCAGATAGTCTGTCCTTAGTTTCTTTCAAGCTGTTATGCCAGTCTTGGGTAGACTTCTTGATTTCTTGATAGTCCCTTGCACCTGCTTCACATACTCCATGCTTTCTCTGTTTTCTCCATCAAGCAATTCTCCCCTCTTTTTCTGTTCTTCCACTCCACCATCTGCTTTTTCCTGGGTGGTGCTTAGCATTTCTCTAACTATTCTGCATACTTCTAGCTTCAGGTCATTGATAACTTCATTCCTGAATTGGTCTATGAGGCTCTCTAAATGGCGCTTAATGTATATTGGTACAGTGTCCACTATTGCCTGATTCTCAGGATTGGGGGTCGAGGAGCCTTTTTTGTTGCTTCCCTTCCCCATATTTTCTGTTCCTTATGAAATGTAATCTTACACAGGAGGCCCGGCTTCCCTGCCTGTCAGCTACAGCTTGATCGAATTGCGCTGGCTAGTTGTTCCAGCTCACTGCTGCGCCCCAGGGAGTTGCGGAGGAGGCAGCCTACGCGGAAGTCGGTCGCTCCTCCGGGCCACCGTCAGGCTCTGGGATCTGGGCTAGGCCAGCCTAGGGGGTCCGCGAGCAGCGTCCCTCCGGCCAGGCACCTTTCACCAATCCCGTCCGAGAGGGAACCATGCGGCTGCAGTTGCCGCCGCGCCCTGCTCTTACAGGACTGCCCGCGCCCAGAAAATCCTCCACTGGAGTCAGACTGCGGTAGGGAGTCAGTTCCTCGCTCACCTCGCCTCCAGTCAGCCTTCCTTCCTGTCCGTCGCGTTTCCGACTCCATTCCCGAGCTCGGCGGTCACGTCTCTCCTTGCTGAGCCGCTGTGGAGGTAGCCGGCCGCCGCGTGGCGGGAAATCCAAACCGCGGTTTCCAATGGCGGAGTCGAGCCTCCACACCGAGATTTTTCTGTTCCTATTTTAGCGCCAGGACTGTATTCCAAGTTGGATTCTCTCAGCCCAGTTTGTTCCTGAGTCAGCAGAGCATATCTCTACTGGTTCGTATCTCCTTAGTCCGCATCATTCCTGGCCTCTGAGCCGAGCCTTTAGAGAGCGTTCAGTAGTTGCTGTTGTCTGTCCGCCATGTTCTCCAGAGATGTTTGTCCAATTTTCTATCATGCTTAGACTATCTCTGCTCTAAGATTATTTTTTAAATTATACATTTTCTTTAAATGTTTTTATGAATTTCATTTTTAAATGATTAATTGTAGAGAATTTCAAAATTTCATATAAAAAGAATAACTTAATGAATCTCCTCACTCTATACCCATCACCCAATTTGAACAAATTATTAATTTAGGCTCAATCTGTTTCACCTCTATCCTCATCTGTGGTTTTAAATTTTACATTTACATCATTAACCCAGCAGAGATTTATTATGGCATAAAGTAAAAGATTACAGACTCAACTTAACTGTTTTCTAGATGTCTATCCAGATGTTTCAGCACCATTTATTGAATCTTCCATCTTCTCCCTATAGATTTGAAATGCCATATTTACTAAATAATGTGTGTGTGTGTGTGTGTGTGTGTGTGTGTGTGTTTGGGACTATTTCTGGACTTTTAAGTTGGTCCCACTGAACTACTAGTTCATGTTAGAGTACCACACCCACTTTAATTACTATGGCTTTGCACTATGCCTTGATATTATATTAGGTGAGGTCACCCTCATTTAGTTTTTAGAATTCTCCTATTCTTATTTACTTTTAATTTTTTTATTAGTACATTCTTGTAGTCCATAATGTTCACATTCATTATGGAGAGTTGATATATGTACATAATATGTATTAATTAATTTTTAATTCATAAATTTAATAATCAGCTTCTTTATACATATAAAAACTATTTATAGTATTTTATTGAGGTGGTCTTAAATTTATTAACCCGGGGAGAACTGATATCTTCAAGATGTTTCATGTTCCTATCAAAAATATTCTAAGCACCAGGCATGATGACACAAACACTTGTAATTCCAGCACTCAGGAGGCAGATACAGAAGGATCGCAAGTTTAAGCCCAGCCTGAACTAACATAGCAAGACTGTTTAAAAAAGAGGTAAAGCAAAATACACTAAACATTTCTACATAAGTTTTATTTTAGATTCCCTGCAGCATGTTCTATTTTGTTAGTGAAGGAGACTTTAACATAACAAAATGCATAGATCTTAAAAGGAGCTTTAATGAATCTGGACAATTAGTAAGTTTATATTCATCTTTTCAAGTGTGCCCGTGGTAGGGGAAGAAAATGACATCCTTCCATTCTTAAAATTTTATTCTGGGTTGGGATGTAGTTTAATGGTAGAGAACTTGGTTAGCATGCACAAGGCTCTTCATTTGATCCCAGCACAAGATAAATTTAAGAAATAAAAGAGTTTATTCCGTGATATAATTTCTTTCATATAATTTTAACATGACTGCCAAACACACAAAATACAGGATAGAATAAAGTTTTTACTTCCAATTTTTTTGATAGAAATCACTTCTGACTGTAAGTGGTCTACTGATTATAATCCATAATAAACACATATACATTTTCTTGATAACCACAACACAGTCATATTGTAATTATTTACACTCTACTGTGGATTCATCATCTCAACATTTAGCTCATAGTCCGAACAGGAGGCTGTGGTGAGCGGGTCTCCAGATAGCTTTCTTACTGTGGTGAAGGTAAAAAGTTTCTGAGAACACTTGGTAATTATGAAAGTCCCTAGACCCTCTAAATCAGGGAAATGGAAGAAATGCCTTTTGTAAGTAAGTTCATTAACATTCAGGGGTTACTTGGAAGTCTCTCCTTTTGGCTAATGAGAGAGTAAACATCTAGCTGGGCTAGAAAACTTACCAGCCTGGCTGGAACAGAAGATGAAGGGACAGCCATCACTTGGAAATGAGAAAATGTCTGGCAGTCAGAAAAGGTATGAAGGAGAACACATAGAAGTTTTAAAACTGTATCTGTAAAAATATGTGAAATTCCCTGGAAACCTGCAGAATCATCCTCAAGGTATAAAGTCTGCATGTAACTAAAATTGTTACTGTAGATTTATAAGTCCACAGTCCACAGGGAAAATACTAAGTCGATAAGTACACAGGGAAAATACTAAGTACCTTAATTTTATTTTGCAACTCTTCCATAAGTAAATGCATTGTTCGACTTGAAAAATAGCCCTAAATTTACAAGTACAATTGACCTTCTGCATATAAGGGTTGGGCCTCTGTAGATTCAACCAACTGCAGATATGCTGAAAACATGGTCAGGCCTCTGATGCTTGTGTCCATACTGAGCATGTCCACTCTTTTTCTGGACATTATTCCTTAAACAATACAGTATAACAACTATTCACATAGCATTTATATTTTGTTAGGTATTAGAACCTAGAAATAACTTAAAGCATACAGCAGGTTGTGAGTAGGTTATACATGAAGACTATGCCATTTTATTTAAGGGACTTGGCATTTGTGGATTTGGGTCCTGGAACCTACGCCAATGGACAACTGTATATAACAAACCAGAGTAGAATGTGTGTCTCAGATATCACTAAAATTCTAGAGTTTTTCTCTTTTAAACTATTGGAGGACAACTTTGACTTTGGGGGAGGAGGGTACCTGGGATCGAACTCATGACCTTGCGCTTGCCTGGTAGGTGCTTTTGTCACTGACCTAAATCCCCAGTCCCTAACTTTCTGATTCTTTACAAGTCATTACACAGGTTATTTGAACATGATGAATGAGTTCTTCATTTCAGTAAAAGGAGAGGTTACTAATTAGTCCTTTCAGGAAACACCAGCCTATGAACAAGCCAAACACTGAAGGGACACAATATGCTATACTTTGCTCTACAACTTTTCCAAAAAGCATACTGTTCCACTCTAACTATTTACATTTTATAATATATTCATAGGTAGTTATTCCCCATAAAATAGAACCACACTTCCTATTCTCTGAATTGTAGGGACCTAGATGGAAACATTCTTGGACTGAAGAAGAGGAAACAGATGAGATCTATGGCCAGACACAGTAACAGAATATTCTAGTACCTATAAAAGGGGCAAATGCCACACTTTGGCCCCAGACACATGTAAACACATTTTGAGGTATTTGACAATGGATATATTGTAAAGAAAAAGAAAAAGAAAAAAGAAAAACCCACAAAAATTACAAATGCACTGTGCTATTTTCTTTGTGATCTGTGGTATATATATTTATCGGGACATTGAATTCATGAAGCACATATAGGACTACAGAAGAAAACAAAACAGAATGATTCCATAAATAAATATTTCATTCAAAAATTATGGAAAAACTATGACTCAGGCATTGCACTAGGTTTCAGAGATACAAGAGACAAAGAGTTAGATACAGTTCCTTGCCTTTGAGCAGTTCATACAGTAGAGTAAGTTAAGTGCTTTAATGAGAAGTCTACAGAAGGCCACTGAGATTCAAGAAAAAAGGACCACTCTGAAGAAGCAAGCCTTTGATTCTGACTGCATACAGAGATCACTCTACAAGGTAAGAAAACAGCAATGTAAATACATGACATGCACATAAACAAATAGCTCTGACCAGAGAAGGCAAGACGATTTTAGAATCAGAGTGTGGCTTACATAGAACAAGCTGCCATCTTGACCTTCTACAGCCAGTGTCAAGACAAGCAAATTTGGTATCTGCTCTTGACCCTCTTCTTCTGGTACAGAATTAAGAAAGTCAGAAAGATAAGACTTCCAGATAATAAGTGGGTCCTTGTAAATGTAACCTGAATTTACTAAGTTATACACTTATTTTTATGTATATATGTGCTAGATAAATAACACATGGTATGCTTTTTGTTTTAATTAACACTTTTTTTAAAGGCTTGGCTACTAACAGGTGTATATGATTTAGCTTTTACTTGTCTTTAGCAGAAAAGGAAGGCTGTAGAAAGGAAAAATTAAAAATGCAATTATAAGGGAAAAGATTTTAGATGACCACGAGTCCCTTCATTTAATAATTTACTGATTATTGCTATGCGCAAGATACTGTGCATGTGGAACATACCTTTGATTTATGTGCTTGATGAATAATCTTTAGTTTATCTGAAAGGAAAAAAAACAAGTTGTCTCTTTATTGAAATTATTGAGATGAAGGAGTGTCCATGATACTGGGAAATGTAAGTACTTACCTTATGACCATGTTCATGTAAAACCTATTACATAGTAAATGAAAATTTATTTGTGCACATCATTAAAGACAAAGGTACAGGGTACAGGAGATGCAGCTCAGTCGTAAAGCACTTCCCTGGTATTTGTAAGGCCCTGAGTGCAAAACACACACACACACACACACACACACACACACAGATAAAAATACAAAGTTAAAGTCCTGACCTTTGACACACAACAATTATGCTTTCATCATAACCTGAAGTCAACTCAGCATATTTGCCCTTAGACTAAAAGGCAAATGCTGGATTTGGTAGCATAGACCTGTAATCCCAATGTCCTAGAAGGCTAGGACAGGAGGATCATAAGTTCAAGGCCAGCCTGGACAACTTAAGTGACTTTAAGTGAAACCCTGAATCAAAAAAAAAAATGTTAAAATTGCTACAAATGCAGTTCAGCATGAAGGCTCTAAATTTATTCCCAGCACCACAAAAACAAAAAGAATAGAAGGTTAATGAGTCAAACTATTCCTTCTTGTTTTTGAGTCCCCCAAAGCTAAAATTTGTAAATACTATACAAAATTATATATATATATATATATATGTATGTATATATAACAAATGTAACCTTAAATTATGACAGACATTAACAAAAGCAATTTAAAAACATTTATGAAAGTGCTCAGGATAGATATAGTCACAAGAGGTCAAACAATCATACTGAGAAAGTATTATCACTCAGAATTCAAAAATTGTCTAGGAGCTATGGTATTTGGAGCAAGGCTCCTAATGCCAGAGAATGTTAGTATCGGTTTCTTGGTTTTCAAAAACTGCAGAGGCTTTTACCATTTGATCTGCATGACTCAAACCCAAATTCACTCCTTAATGTTTATGCCCAAGTCAGTACTTTGCTTTTGCAATAAGGAAATTCTCCACTCGGGTAAAATTCTAACTTTGCAGCAGTCAGGCCTTAATTAGACAGTAGACAATAGTTTAAACTCCAAACCTTTCTAATTCTCCACTCAGTTCTAGTTAACCACTTATGGACTGTATTGTGATTGCAATGTACATCTGAATTACTCTCAACTTTAAAATTTATTTCTATCCATCACACTGTACCAAAGAATCCCCACAGTAACATAAAATGAAAAGATCTAATTTAAAAAGAGGCCTCTATTTAACTATTTTGTCATACTACAGAAGAATAGGGTACCCATCATAAGAACTGGTACCCCCATTTTAGTCAACTTTCAACTACTGCAATTTTTTTCTACTGAAATTTTTAACACAAGGGCAAAACCCTAGGACTAGAATTCTACATTCTTAAAAAGTAAAATAAATTTAACCTAAGTAAAATATGCACATTAGGACTGTAAACATGTCACAACTGCTAAACATACACTTAACAGACATAAGAAAATAAACAAATACGACTTTTGCTTTACCTATTATTCGGTCACTTACATTTTTTCTCACTATAAACAAAATTTAGTTTCTTATTTGATCCAAGTTAAGAGAAGCCAACAGTAATGTTTTTAATAAAAACTTAACATCTATTTAAATGAATTTGTAAAACTGTAGTTTGACCTTATAAATATTAATAATGTTTTATGTTTTGCTAGTAAGTCCTTAAATTAGAAATCATATAAATCCACAATAAGAAGGCTATGTTTTTGTCTTCTAGCAGAAAAAAGTGTTTTGAATAGAAAATTTCACTAGATTTTCTACCCAACAGAAACTGGAAAGATGTAAGAAGAGGGTAAAAAAGGAAAAATGACAAATTAGCAAAAGGTGTTTTATCAAATAATCTTCACTTTTTTGACTTATTTTAAAAAATACTCATTATTTCTGAAAACAGTATCTGTAGGCATTGCTTCCTTAATGCAAATTCCTTGAGAAAAAGCACACTATAAACATAGTATTTTATATTTATGGGGCATTTAGCATGTTGGCATGTGCCAGTTTAATTTCATACAGCCCTGTGAAACACATAGGGATCAACAGCAAGACACCGTATGTCAGTCAACATAATATGCACACTGTCTAGGCAATAAGGATTTAAAAATAAACAGCATTCAGTAGTACCTCCATAACAGCTTTAGATGCCAATTAACTGGGAGGAGGGGTTCTGGGAAACAGGGTAGCCCAGTGCCCAAGGGCATGGAGAGAGTAACTAGCAAAACTGCAATCTGATTCTGTGCTCTTTCCAATTTCCAAAACCCACTGCAGTGTTCAGTTCCCAAAGGCCATCAGGTAGTCCTAGGTGACAATGACAAGTGTAAAAGTAACACTCCAATCTTTCCTGTTCAACACAAAGCAGCAGATTATTAAAGAGCCAAACTGAAACAAAAAACCACTTGAAGTCTATCAAAACTCTAGTGGCTCTATAATTTCTTTCCTAACAAATGGATTCATCTTTTCTGAATATGCAGAAATACTAGGATGAAAGGATGTTAATGAGATGGAATAATCTAAATAAAAGATGCCATTATCTACCAGAATGATTCTGAGCCACTCAGGTATTCTGATGCTTTCATTATTTTAAAATCTGCCTTCTGTAATAACTTACATGGAACACAAGTTTGCATATAGACACATAACATGTGAAAGGGAAACCTTATGCAACTATTCTAATTTGAAATGGCATCTGTAGGTTGATTCAAGTTTACGTTATATTTCAAGGCATTATACTTCAAAAGCCATGAAAGCCACAATTGAGAAGTTTCTTATTTACCTTAATCATGCCTTTTATTCCTTTCTCTTATTCAATATTGAGTATGTAAATTCTTTAGGTCTGATAAATCAAAGTACTTTCCACTCTATGCCTTCAACTTCTGCTTGACTACCCCTTATGACCTCACAATTAGTCTCTGGATATTAAAATGCAGGGACACGGAGAAGATTGTAATTTCAAAGGATGGCAGGTCACAAGTTGCCCTACTGAATGGGAACAGAGTGAAAAGGCACTCTGAAAAATTATCTAAGGTAATAAAAAATGTATACTTTAAACTGTCTGCTCCAATTAACAGAAATATTTATTAAGTGCATCATAACTTTCAAGTCAAGTCTCAAACTCAAGTTGGCTGAGTGTCACTCTGACGGGGGTTGGTAACTATACCATCTTCATATGGAATAACACCTGGCCTTGTGCTTTATTACTATATTTTTAATTTTCCAATTATGTGAATAAAATTACTACATATTATGCTCAAGCTAGTAGCATTTAAAGTGTTAAATCTCATATTTTAATTCTTCATCCTTAATTATTTTCCCTTCTCTGGTTACCTGCTAAGAAACAAACTTTTGATAAAATGTTGCCAAACATGCAATTTCTCACAAACATGTCACTTTCCTACACAATTACCATTTACTTTGATAATATACTAGGATTCCTATATTCCTAAATAAACTTCTAAACTGGTTTTTACTTAAATTAACTTTTTGAAGCTAAATTTGATTTATATCATCAAAAAACTATAATGCAAAATTATATCAATATTCATCTTAAAAGGATAAGAAAAATTGTTTACCATACTTATAATTTCTGAATGGTGGTGGCAGGTTGGTCCTCAGAGGGATATCTAAAAGAGAAATATTATTTTTATTATAAAATACTCCAATAAAATGCAGTTATTTTAGTTCTATTCTTTTATACCCACAGACTATGTTGTATTTTTTAAAAACTGATAAAACACAAAATGAAGCCAACATGGCATCAAATTCTAAGGGCCAAATGTCCTAGGTTTTCAGCAAACAGCCTATAGTATCTTCACCTAAGGAATGTACCTGTTCATTGAGAATAAAAAGACAAAAATAGGGAAACAGAAACAGACAAGACCATTCCTGTAAAAAAGGTCATGTAGGCAGTAGTATCAGAGGGGACTACTCCTGCAGACAGAGTGGTTAGCGACGCCTCTTTGTGGTTGTAACACTGGAGCTGATAGGGGAAAGAGAAAAGGTACCCCTGTATGTCTCAGGCATGGCCTCTCCCCTCTAAATTCTCTAAACGATATGGTTGCAGCCTCATGGAACCATCTGTTCCTTACCTCACCCTCTTCCTCAAGGATTTTCATTTTCTAATCTAGAAGCATCAATGGCAATACATTTAGTGGATTTATTCTCCTTTGGAATGTTTAAATTTTTTTTTTTTTTTTTTGGCCTGTGATTGAGGAATAACATGATCTGGGAAGCCTAAGCCAGAACTTTAGGTTGGTATGTAGCTGGCACCTCCAAAGACGTTTCCTTGGCCCTATGATGTTTTAAACACTGGGGATTTTCACCTACCCCTAGACTTTTTTTAGCATTTCCATTGAAATATTTAGGTGTGACCACCCAGGGCCCCCATACCTACAGCACCATGATCAGTGAGAACTACTGGAGGGCAGTGCCCCAGTGAGGTACTTATTCTCAGACCTCACCGCTCCCCTTTGCTGACCTGCTTTCCTTACCTGTGGTTGGAGCAGCATTACCCCTGTGTGGGAAAAGTGTCTCAGCCAGAGAAGACAGAGGCTTGCCAAAATTTAACGGCTCAGTCATGAAACACAGAGTGGACACAAACGAAGCCTATAAGTAGCCCTCATCCTTGTACTCAGGTGACAGAAAGTGTGTGACCTGTGAATGTATTGCTTAGGTCACCATCACAAGAAATACCTTAGTCCTAGAAACCTGTAGAGCTCATCAGTCGGAGGCAGCTATTTCTCAGTGTGTTCTGCAATTCAAAATAATTTCCTTTCCAAATAAAGCGGTATTCCTTCCTTTCTTTTTTTTTGGGGGGGGTACCAAGGATTGAACTCATGACCTCATGCTTGCCAGGCAGGCACTTGTGCCACTGAGCTATATCCCCAGCCCCTATCTTCCTTTCTTAACACTTTGTCTCTATCTAATTAGATGGCAGCGGTGGAATGGCTACATCAAGGAGTATATGCACATGTAATGATGATACATGTTATGTAAATGACCTGTGCTGTTGGGAATAGATGGACTTGGTTCTGGTAACACTGGGATGTCTGGCCCTGTGTGAATGTTTGACTGATAGTCATTTCAGAAGGTTTTTATTTTGTATTTAATGATCTGCTGCATATAGATATCTACTTGTTCCCAGCACCATTTATTGAAGTCGTGAGTTCGATCCCAAGTACCGATAAAAAAATAAATAAATAAATAAATAAAATAAAAGAATGAAAATATAGATTTCAGAACAAAATAATAGGAAATCAACAATGGTTATCATAATACATTATTATCTTCAAAATAGCTGCCCATACTATCAGACACAGTAGACTCTAACAAAACAAGACAGAATAAAACCAAACCTAACAAAATGACAACAATACAAGAAGATAATAGGAAATTAACAGTGGTACCACATTCCCTTTTATGTGTTCTCTTCCCTATTACTTTTATATCTATTGTGCTTTTTGTATTCCACTAACTCCTTCAGTTTTTATGCTAAGGAGATAACTCAGTGTTCACTCATATGGGTCCAAACCATTTCACCCATGAGCATGATCTCCAGTTGCGTGCATTTACCTACAAGAGCCTTGAGATTATTCTACTTTATAGCTGGGTAGCTTTCCATTGTCTGGAAATACCATATTTTTCTTATCCTTTCTGCAGTTAATGGGTAACTTACCCTTACTTTTTCTGGTTTCCTGTCACATGGAACAACTATTTTCTTTGATTTTAAGTCTATGAATTGCCTTTTGAGTTAAATGTGTTTCTTGTATAGTGTATTGATGAATCTTGTTTCTTGATCTACTCTCTATGTTTCTTTTTATTGGTGAATTTAACCATCTACATTAATGGTTAAACTGACATGCATTGATTTATCTCTGCCATGCTGTCCCTCTGCTGTTGGCCCTCCACTTTTCTCCTTTCTTCAAATGCCTGTCCTGTTTGGCAGTCTTCCTCTGCTGCTATTCCTAGAAGCACGGTCATCTTTATCTCTTTCTAGAAATCTTTCACCACTCTCTGTAGGGTTGATTTAATGGTCATGAATGCTTTCAGTTGCTCTTTATCATGGAAGTACCTTATTTTTCTGTATATTTTGAAAGATAGTTTTACAGGGTACATCAATCGGGTTGGAAGTTTTTTCTTTCAGGCTTTGAAACACTTCAAACTCTTCTTGACTTAATGACTTGTACTGATAAGTTTGCTGTGATTCTGATTCGTTTTCCTTTACAGCTGATCTGTTTCTTTTCTCGAACAGCTTTTAATATTCTGTTCTTGTGTTGAATTTCTGGGATCTTGATTATTATTTGGGTGTAGATTTCTTTTGGTTATAACTAGTTGGTGTTCTCTATGCTTGGCATATCTGTATGCCAGATCTTTTTCCCATGTTTGGGAAGTTTTCTCTATTACTTCTATAAATAGTCTTTTCATTTCATTTGTGTTGACCCCTGCTTCTTCGCTGATACCTATCACTCTTAAATTATTTTCCTTTGCATTACCTTGCAGCTATTGAATTGTTATTCCCTGATTCCTTGTTTTTTTTTTTATTTAATAGGAAAAAAAGAAAAGAAAAGAAAACAGTATGAGGGTACAAGTAATACAGAATTACAAAAAAGGTAAGAAATCACTAATTAATAGATTACATATTGTCATCTTAGAAATAGTTGTTCAAGTTACAGGATTAAAGCATACAAAGTGGACATTCAAACAGTGATACTGCAAACAGTTGTGTTCAATGATCCAACAAAAACTTAGTAATATGGTCATCTAAACACACCCAAACACACTTGCAGTTGTATCCTTTAGAGCACTTTTTTTTCCCTCTTTTTTACAACAAAATTTACACATTTTGGGTTTTATTACTCCCATAGTTCTAATTACTTTTTTTTTGTTGTTTTGGAAGAGAATAAAACCAAATATGACAAAACAAAGCAGTCAGTCAAAACAAAGGATAGACATAGCACATGGGGTAAAAACAGAGTATAAGGTTATTAACAATGGTTACCATAATGCCTCTTGCTTCCTTAAAAAGAATTGCCTATATCATTAGGTATAATAAAATTGAATAAAACAGTACAGAACAAGACCAAAAAAAAACCTAAACATTGGAAACATTAGATTCCTTATTATTTTTAAGAGATCTCTCCTTTTATGATCACTAGCTGTGATCCTGTCTTCAAGGTCTGAAAGTCTATTTTCAGTCTCTTTCAAGCAGTTTTGCCAGTTTTCAATCGGCTTTTTAATTTCCTGGATATCTCTTTGAATCTCTTTCATGCATTGTAATGCCTTCCTTTATTGTTCATTAAAGTTTACAACATTTTCCTATGTTCATCATTACTATTTATGTCTTCTTTAGATATGCTCACAATTTTTTCATTGTTTGTGGATCTGCTTTTACCTGAGGCATTATTTCTGATCTGATTACTTGTATAGTCTCATGAAGTTGTTTCTTTGAGTTGCTATCTTCTCAGAGACTTCAGATGTGACTTTCACTTCCTTCCATGTAGACTATATGACTATATATATCCCAGCCTTGTTCTGTATGAACTGGAGGTCTGAAATTACCTTTTGCTCCTTCATCCTGACATTCTCCTGGGTTCCTCCCAACAAACCAATTGTGGAGTCCCAGGCACTTCCCACATTGGCTGCCCCTCCATGGTGTAGGGAAATGGGACAGGCACCTGTGTTTCTCTAAACCAGGTTCCCAGGGAGATAGCAAAGCATAGGTTGGGTTTCTCTAGATCTGTGCAGCTACACTGGGGCTTCCCTGATGGCCAGGGACTTATGGTGGCAGGGCTGCTTCTTCTCTTAGCCTGCATGTCTATACCAGGACTCCCCCAATGTGGCAGGTACACAGAAGTGTATTTGTCTGATTTGTCCTGTGGGTGTTGGCCACCCAAAGGAAGCAAGGGTCTCCAATGGTGGCCTGTGGGTACCATATCTGACTGTGTCTCCCTGCCCACGCTGGCTACCCACAGGAAGCAAGCCTTCCAATGGTGGCCATGGATGCACACAGGCAGATCCAGCTGCATCTCCCTACCCATGCTAGCTGCCTGCAAGCAGCAAGTTTTCTGATGGCAGCAGTGGTGCTCAAGGGGGGCCACAGCCTATTTTCTTCATTATGCTGTCAGTACCTAAAATAGGATCTGGTACATGGCATGCATTCAAAAATACTCATGAATAAATAAATATAATCCCTTCAACTGGTAGTTGGGAGCTATGAAGCCCCAAGGAGGTTGTCTTAGTTACTTTTCTCATTGGTAAGACAAATCCAACACCCAAAGTTTAAGGAGTAAATGTTTATTTAGCTCACAGTTTGTAGAGGTTTCAGTCTATAAGTGGCTGGCTCTAAGGCAAAGTGGCATGGCAGATGAGATAGTTCATAGCAGGCAGAAGGTTGCAAAGCAGACAAAGGACAACCATGGCTCTTTCTATCCCTTATATCTTATACAGGGTACTTACAGGAGGCAGCACTTCCACCGTTAATCCTAGTGCCTTTGACCCTAGAACTGCACCATGAATCAATCCCAGCATCACACACACTAGATCCAACCACCTCTGAAAAGCCCCACCCCTGAAAAAGCATGAGGCTTTGGGGAACATCTAGACACAGGCCGTTCGTAATAAAGGT